GCACTAACAACTTCCAGAGCTTCGTGGTGGCTGAGCTGGGATCTGATCCCCCAAATTCCCTGGGAATGGGGGGAGGGGTTTGGCTGGGGGGGTCCTCCTGCTGCCCCAGAGCCCCATAATAATAATAATAATAATAATAATAATAATAATAATAATAATAATAATAATAATAATAATAATAATAATAATTATTCAAGAATTTAAATTTATCTTCAATAATTTAAATAAAATTTCAGTAATTTATAATTTATATTCTCTCTATATGATATACATTATACATATAATTCAATAATATATAGTGTATATTTCATATAATTTCCATTATTTATGTTTATTATTATGTTGCGTTTAACATGATCATCAAATAATAAGATTGATATTCACAATGGATAATAAAATCAGGATACAATAATAATATGTAATTACTTACGATTTATTTTATATTATCTCTAGTCTATTTTTAATACTTATAAGAAGTATAAAATAATTTCTAAAAATAATAAAAAATGATGTGACAAAATTATAAAATTATAACATCAAAATTACAAAATGATGATCTGATAGTCACTCCATAATCATTTGTTGGCTATTTTATTAAATATGTTTAATTTATGACATAACGTTATATATAATTATCCTATACTGTAGGTGTTATGATATTCATAATATAGTATATCTACATCATTATAAAATAAAGGCCACGGGAGTTCCACAGGTGCTGGTGGGGAACAGGAGAGGCCCTGGGGAGCTGGGGGTGTGCCCTGGGCACCGATCCAGGGGGATCCACCGATCCGGGGGGGATCCACAGATCCAGGGGGATCCACCGATCCGGGGGGGATCCACAGATCCGGGGGGGATCCACACATCCGAGGGGTATTCCCGTGTCCATGGCCATATTCCCGTGTCCATGGCCATATTCCCATATCCATGGCCATATTCCCGTATCCATGGTCATATTCCCATATCCATGGCCATATTCCCATGTCCGTGGCCATATTCCCGTGTCCATGGCCATATTCCCGTGTCCATGGCCCTGTTCCCATATCCATGGCCATATTCCCATATCCATGGCCGTATTCCCATATCCATGGCCATATTCCCGTGTCCATGGCCATATTCCCATATCCATGGCCGTATTCCCATATCCATGGCCGTATTCCCGTATCCATGGGGGCCCTGTTCCCGTATCCATGGCCATATTCCCGTATCCATGGCCATATTCCCGTATCCATGGGGGCCCTGTTCCCGTGTCCATGGCCCTGTTCCCGTATCCTTGGCCATATTCCCGTGTCCATGGCCATATTCCCATATCCATGGCCGTATTCCCATATCCATGGCCGTATTCCCATATCCATGGGGGCCCTGTTCCCGTGTCCATGGCCCTGTTCCCGTGTCCATGGCCCTGTTCCCGTATCCATGGCCATATTCCCGTGTCCATGGCCATATTCCCATATCCATGGCCGTATTCCCGTATCCATGGGGGCCCTGTTCCCGTGTCCATGGCCCTGTTCCCGTGTCCATGGCCCTGTTCCCGTATCCATGGCCATATTCCCGTGTCCGTGGCCATATTCCCGTATCCATGGCCCTGTTCCCGTATCCATGGCCATATTCCCGTGTCCACGGCCGTGTTCCCGCAGGACCTGACGCTGAAGCTGTGCCTGATCCGCAGCCTGTCCATGCTCAGCCAGGCCGTGTCCCGCGGGAAGGGCCCCCCCGGCTTCGTCTTCGCCCGCAAGGCCGAGCTCGTCGCCCACATGGTGGTAAGGGGGGCTGGGGGGGCACTGGGAGGGTCCTGGGGGGCACTGGGGAGTACCGGGAGGGTCCTGGAGGGTACTGGGAGGGTCCTGGGGGGCACTGGGAGGGTCCTGAGGGGCACTGGGAGGGTCCTGGAGGGCACTGAGGAGCCCTGGGGGGAACTTGGAGGGTCCTGGGGGGAACTTGGAGGGTCTGGGGGGGCATTGGGGGACACCCAGAGGGCCCAGGGGCCACCAGGAAGGTCCTGGGGGACACTGGGAGGGTCCTGGAGGACATGGGGGGACATAGGGAGGGTCCTGGGGGGCACTGGCAGATCATGGGGGGCACAGGGAGGGTCCTGGGGGGCACAGGGAGGGTGCTGGGGGGCACAGGGCCCCTATGGAATGTGGGATAACAGGGCTGGCCATCCCTGGCCGTCCCTGGCAGTGTGCCCTGGTTGTTCCCCCCAGGAATTCATCCGGGCAGAGCCCCTGGAGACGCTGCGGACGCGGGTGCGGCAGCGGGCCATGCTCACCTGCACCCACCTGGTGTATCCTTGTCCCTCTGCCCCATCCCAGAGGGAATCCCGGGGGCTGCTGCACCCACAGAGCCCGGCCCCCCTCCCTGCTTGTCCCCAGATGTCCCCAAGGCTCTCAGGCACAGGGGGGGATTTTGGGATTGTCCCGTGCAGGGCCAGGAGTTGGACTTTGATGATCCTCATGGATTCTGTCCTTCTTCCCTTTTCCCCTTCTTCTCTTTTCTCCCTTCTCTTTTCCCTCTTTCCCCTTCTCCATCTTACTCTCTTTCCCTTTTTCCCTTTTTCCCTTTTTCCCTTTTTCCCTTTTTCCCTTCTCCCTTCCCTTTTTTCCCTTTTCCCTTTTTTCCCTTTTCCCTTTTTTCCCTTTTCCCTTTTTTCCCTTTTCCCTTTTTTCCCTTTTCCCTTTTTTCCCTTTTCCCTTTTTTCCCTTTTCCCTTTTTTCCCTTTTCCCTTTTTTCCCTTCTCCCTTTTTCCCCTTCTCCCTTCCCCTTTTCCCCTTCTCCCTTCCCCTTTTCCCTTCTCCCTTCCCCTTTTCCCTTCTCCCTTCCCCTCTTCCCTTCTCCCTTCCCTTTTTCCCTCCCCTCCCTCTCCAGTTCCTCCCTCTGGACAGTCCTTCCACGATCCCACGATTCCATAATTCCCTCACACAGACCCAAGGCTGACACCAGGGGGTCTGGTGGTGTTTCCACAGCTTCCCCCCCCCTCCCCAGTTTTCCCAGTGCTCCCAGCTTGGTTCTCCCCATGCCCAGTTCTCCCCACTCCCATGCCCAGCAGAGCCAGGGATTCCACGGAGCTGCAGTTACAAATATTCCCGAGATCCCAGCTCCTGGTTCCCATCAGAACCATCCGTGTTCCTTCCTTACCCCGGGCTCAGCCCCCTGGAGCCCCCCCTGAGTGACCCGGACAGGACGGAGCTGATGGACACCTGCCTGGCCAGTGTCCTGTCCCTGCCCCCTCTGGAGCCCCCCAGGGACAGGGAGGAGGACGGGGGGGATTCCCTGCACACACAGGTGGGATTCCTGCGGGATGGGAACGGTGCTGGTGCTGCGGGGGTGGGGTGGGAGCACAGACCCCCACGTGGAGCTCAGAGAGAATTCCTGGATGGGTTGGGTGGGAAGGGACCTCAAGGATCATCCAGTGCCACCCCTGCCACGGGCAGGGACAGCTCCCACCATCCCAGGGGGATCCAGCCTGGCCTGGGACACTCCAGGGATCCAGGGGCAGCCACAGCTTCTCTGGGAATTCCAGCCCAGCCCCTCCCCACCCTCCCAGCCAGGAATCCCTTCCCAATCTCCCCCCTAACCCTGGGCAGCCATTCCCTGGGTGCTGTCCCTCCAGCCCTCATCCC